ACTGATTGAGAATCTATTCTTTGTCCAAACAGAGGCGATGCATGTTTCCGATATTTTGGCTGCGTGTCCACGGTTGACATTGGTGGTGGTTGGGGAGGGTAAAGGGCGAGGGGGGTCAAGTATTGTTTTGTCTCTATTTAAATCCGGTAAAGCCGGAGTAATCAAATGTTTGACATTAAAACGTTTGTTTTGGGGGTTTTTTCTTCTTACTTTTAAATAATTTGTTTTCCCCATAACATGTGAAATTTACCCGATTGAACCGCAATCATATGCCCAAAGTCAATGACAACAAAGCAGAACGATGAGCTCCAGTAGCCCCAGTAGCAATTTGATGACAAGGAAATGAAATAACCTCACCACAACTGCAGGGCACTTTTGAAGCAAAGTGAGATAGAACCCGCCGAGTGGTGCGGTGGTAAGATTCCAACTAACGGTTAACTACCCGCCGCCCGCCCAGGGGGGTCCAACTTCTCGTGGAAAGCTACTCGGTGCTGTTGCCCCATCAGCAAGACGCTAACAAACAACGGTTCCCAATATGCGAAGCCAGGCACCCGTCAGAGAATCTTGCTCGGGGAAAACTCTTCTCCGGTCAAGTCAGGCACCGGTTGACATCTGACAAGCATGGGATACGAGGGTGGAGAAAAAAAAAGGGGGGGGGGTTCATGATACCGGGACCAGGAGGTGAGCGGTGCCAAGTCAAGCCAAGCGGCACTTTAGCTTGCTCAGTGCGGAGGTTACTCTGGCCAGATGTTTTGGTGCGAGAGTACATTTAACTCTTCTGGCTATTTCAACTCAGAGATGTCGGTGTGCTGACCTGTATTCTATATCTCTGTATCTGTATCACAAGTTAGTGCGGAGGTTACTCTGGCCAGATGTTTTGGTGCGAGAGTACATTTAACTCTTCTGGCTATTTCAACTCAGAGATGTCGGTGTGCTGACCTGTATTCTATATCTCTGTATCTGTATCACAAGTTAGTGCGGAGGTTACTCTGGCCAGATGTTTTGGTGCGAGAGTACATTTAACTCTTCTGGCTATTTC